GACCTTCAGGCCACAAGGCCCCAGCAGTCCATGCCTTTCTGACAACCTGGTCCAGGTATTCAGCTTGTTTGAGAGCTGATAGTGCTGAGGGCTATGCACAGAGAGCTCAGAGCAACCCACCCTGCTTGAGGAAAGCTCTGTTAAATACATCTGCTTCCTCACCTGCTCGATCCAAACCCTGATTCAGTTCCAACAGGAAGTACTTGTGCCATATACTCCAGCTGGCTTCTTCCAGAGGGCTTTTGGCTTTGAGAAGGAGCTTGTGCCTCCCAAGGAAGTTCTGTACAGATGTACCCAAACCTCAACTTCTCATCTCGCAGCCTTTCTTTGACTTCTTTTTGTGCAAAGAGAGATGTGAAACTGCACCAGGAGCCCAAGCTTGTGCTTGGAGTAGCTGTCCTCTGAGCACTTCAGGCTTGGTATTCAGGATGCCATTTCGCAGCCTCAGATGAGCTAAGGCATCATGCTTTGTCCCACGATTGGTGGGAAGTGGCTCTGTAATCCCACAACCCTGACACACACTCACGTTTTATTAATCTCTGAACATTGCTGCAGCCAAATGAAGAGAAAAATATGGTTAATTTTTCTTTCACAAGTGAAAGTTTTACTCAAAGCTTCTCAAAAATTAGGCAGCAGTGGAAGCACAGGAGACTGGGGGGGGTGCAGTGGCCAAAAGGGCACTGACAATAACTGTGTGCCACATGCTAAAGAAAACCAGTATTCCTTTCTCAGAAGAAATTGCTTTTTCAGAGCACATCGTGCTAAAGTATGGAGAGCATGTGGATTTTGGTTAGTTCCAGGAAGCAGCAAACTCGTATCAGGGTGAAAAACCTTAACGATTTCAGCTGGAAAGCTAAAAGCAGTAGAAATGCAAGTGCTACAAGGAGCCACCCTGTGGCACCAGCAAGCTAAGAGAATGGAGGGCAAGCCAGGGTAGACACTTGTGTGGGGAGTTGTGTTGTGGGCTTTCGTTTTGAAACTCATGCCAGCCAGAGTGACAAAAGCTGGAACTGACCCAAACAGAGACTTCTGTGGCAGGGAGCTCCTTAATGGAGGAACTGAACTAGAAAAGCAGAGGGGCAGCAAGCCCCAGCAGCTCATGCCCAAGCACCAGTCACCTGCCAGGCCTTACTGGGGCAAAGCTGTCAGAGGGACATCAGCCTTCCCCACTGCCTCATCCTTGGGAACACAACAACAGCAGCAAGAATTAATACTACTCCCAGAATTCATTCCTTTCTGTGGAAGTTTTCTGACACAGTAACCTCCCTCAGAACAAGGATAACAACACATTGCTCTCTCAAGGCTAATTTAAGGACCTAACCAAAGACTTTAAGGGGGGAACGGGTGGAAAAGGCACCTGAGACAGCACATTGTGACTGTGTGGGCACACAAAGAGCTGTGGGCAGGCGCCCCGAACCTGCACTTTCCCCTTCAAGTCTCCCGGAGCTGCTGCCTGGGTACTGCCAGCTCCCGGTGATGATCTGGACTTCTGGAAGGCAGCACCCACTGCAGTGCCAGCGGCACAGAGGTGGTAAACAACTCGCTCTCATTCCCAGACTTGCTGCTTAGATTACTGAAGTACAAGGGATTGCATAGCTTTCCACCTATACTCCCATTTAACAGGCCAGTGCCTGACTGCTCTCCTCAGCCACCAGTTCCCATTACTGCTGGAGATGAGACACTTCATTAGATGGGCTGCCTCTTTAATGGGAAACACCAGTGAGCTCCTATAAAAACGGAGTAACACCACAGGACTGACCTACTCCACAACATCCCCACTCATGAGGACATTCACTTTAGGACCATGACATGAACTGACAGGCTCACAGTTGGTTTTGTTTTCACCGTGCAGAAGGAGTCCCGTTTCCATCTTTGACGGCTCAGTAGAACATACCTCTTCTTATATGGAGAGACACAGCTATCGCAGCACTGACAATTTCTGACCTTTGCCCTTAATAAATGGAAGGCACTGACTGTATCTAAGAATGAAGTCACACACCCGACGAAACTGTCAGCTGACATGAAAATACAGCAACTCATCTGCTTAGCAACACAAGCTGCCACCAACATCACTTCCTTCTTAAACATAAAGTTCAGTTCACAGGCTCCACCCTGACTCAGAGCTGCCTGTAAAATTGGATCTGACTCGCCGCCAAGAGGTCACGTCTCCTCCTCGCTTGCTCTGAGCCGGACTTTCCACAGCAGCTATATTTCACTGGAACTTCCTAACGTGCAGCCCGGGGGAGGCAGGCAGGCAGGCAGGGAGGGAGGGAAGGAAGGAGGCAGGGAGGTAAGCACGGAGGCAGGGAGGTAAGCACCACCGCAGTCACCGAGTTCACCTGCCAACGCTGACTTTCATGTTTCTGTTCAGCTGTCCTTCAAGACAGATTTGTCAGAGCAGGTGCTGAATAACTTGTTCCTTCTGTGGACTGGGGAGCAAGAAGGACTTGTCACAGTTACTTCCTGGGTTTGCACATGCAAGAAGCACCCAGGTGCAACATTCCCACCTATACCTACACATGCTGTCATTACTCGGGAGGTCATTTAAAACCCATGGCCAAACACACATTTATCATACCACTGAAAAGTACTTATACATTTATTATTCTACTTACGTTCACCAAGCAAAAGTGCATTTACAATTGTTTCTTGAGACTGTCACACTACAAATGCAGTAAGGAACACATTAAATATGTTCAGTTTTATCACTTTTCCATGTATTTTTTGGTAAATGCTTCATAAAATTGCAAGTCAACAACAATTAAAAAAAAAAACCCACATTTATTTATATAGTTAAGTTAGATGTGTTTCTCAGATTCCTTTTCTACTCTGAAGGAGGATCAACTAATAGGATGATACTGCTTTTTCATTAAACTCAGGTCCACTCCCCTCCCTGCTTGGTAAACTTCTACGAAGAAGACTGAGAGGAATCTGAAGAGACCATCTGGTCCCCCCCCCGGCCACACGCAGATGGGATAAAGTAGCCCCAGACAATCCCCAACAGATGTTTGTCTAACCTGTTCTGAGAAACCCTCCATGAAGCAGATACCCAAACTTCCTAAGTAGCTTGTTCTGGTATTTCACTGTAACGATTTAAAAGTTATTGCTGTTGCATCTCCCCCTCCTCTTCTAATATCCAACTTAAATCATCCTCCCACCCTCCTAACAGCTAGTCTGAGACATTTTCTCTCTGTACAGATCTCATCTTTCCCCCAGCATTCAAAAAGTTGATCAAACCTCTCTAACCTTTTATACATTGGAAAATGTATGCAATTCCCCTCTAAAAATTCAACATCCTCCTTCCCTTTACCATTTCCTTTTATATTTTACATCTCTTATTTTATCTTGCCTTGTCCTGTGCTTAATTCTTCAGCAGAGAACATGAAACCAAAGGCAATGCTGCAGTTGAAGCCTCACCGGCACTTACTGGAGTCATCCTCACATCTTTCTCTATGACTTACATATGCCACCTATTGATAAATCCTAAGAGAGCACTGCATTTTGCAAAAACATTGCATCGTTCATTGCTATTTTGTTGGTGATTCTCTACAAACTCCCTCTAACCATCTACCTTGATTTCTCCAGGAAACTGGTTATTGTTTTCATTTTTGCATGTTTTTACTTTTCCAAAAGGGCATGTGTAGAAAATTTGGTTTCAGAAGGGCAGAGGGACAAACATTAAATCACTGTATGCTTATAGAGAGAATAAAATAAATTGCTCCTTCCACTATTTCAGATCCACCCCTAAGAAAACAGCCTCATACAGAGTTAAGCTTAAAGCTCATGGAAGACTTCTGCTGCAACAGAGTAGCGAAGTCGTCCACTGTGGTCTGGATTTCACTGGCACAGAACACTTTAAGAGATGGGCCACAACTCTGAGTATGAATCAATACTCTGTTATGGAAACAGCATAATGCAGCAGAAAAAGAGAACACACTCCCACTGCAGCCTACATTAATTATTGTGGAGCTTGGGACATTCAAAAAGTGTGAGACACATTCAGCAAGCATGTCAGTACTTAAAATTACTTGTATGGTCTTTCCAGTTTCTCATAATCCAGCCAAACATATATCCCTTGTGCAGTACTTCATTGCAAGTAAAGACACAACTGCCTGCCTAAGTAGAGTTTGATCATCCAAGTATTTAAAACAATGCACTAGGAACTGAACCTTACAAATGCTGAATTTAAAAAATAATTTAACAAAAGGTACTCTGATAGTAGCAACTCAGAGATCTAGGAACACCGCACTTCATGTGTATATATTCAGAGCAGACATGTTAGATCTGATTCCCCGAGATGCTGCATACTTGTCATTCGTGCTGACAAGTATTTGTTGTTGGCATGTATTGATTTGAAAGTAGAGGTGCTGAATACCACTGAGTGCCAGTCCTGAAGAAGTAAACCTAGAGACACAGGCCAGTGTTAAAAGCACCACCACCAGCAGCAGCTGACCCCTCACTTTGTATCCCTCCACTCTGTACCTTTTCTGCTCCTGTCTTGTGTAGGTAACTAAAATTTGTCCTGTCTTTAAAGATAAACACCTCAGCTCTGCAGTGCTGAGGTAACTACCTGCCAGAAACTCACCTTTCCTATGCACAAGTTTGTTTATACTTTGGATATTACAAGTAACTTACACAATCACTGTATTTATTTGTACATTCTTGGCAGAGGAACAGAACTAACTTAGTTCAGTTCAGGCAGGAAGACCTGCTGTCCTCACTCCCTGGTTGCAGAGGAGGGAGGGGATGTGAGCTGCATCCCTAACACCATGGGTCATACTTCTTAGGCTGCTCACTTCAGTAGTGCTGCACCGAATGGCACAACTTTTAAACAATTAACCAATTGTTTTCTCTCTTAAAAAACACAAGCCAGAACATGCCGTATTTTTTGCACTGAGAGCACAGATCGTATCACGGCTTCTAAGGCAGCAGGGTTTGTCTGCAACTTAACAGAAAAGTTGTAAAACAGTTGCTAGAAGATAAAGACAACAGATGCAGTGTTAGCACTAATATTCACTGTTTAATCTGTGGTGCAGTAGGTTTCCAACATGGCTTTTGAGACAGAACACCGCACATGCTGTCAGGTTTATTATGTAATAAATAATACACCACACACCACATTCACTCTGCATTCTGTAAGGAAATATGAAATGCTGACAGGGAAGCTAAAAAGCCTCAACATGATGGCAGTTGTATTAACACCAACTTCTTTGAAACCAAGTTTAAAGATGCATCAAAGCTGCTCATTTTCTTTAGAGGCAGGCTTTATTTTTTCAAGTTACATTTGCTGTTGAATGACCACTGTTAAGTTGACATCCTACACCGTAAGCAAGGAAACTCCCCAGAACATCAATGAATCAACATAAGTAAAGGTAGATAGTCTAATACCTGGTTCAAGTGACCGCAACTCTCTTATATGTGCAGCTCAGTCTGAAAGGCAGGCAGTTCTCTGGGCCTGGATAAATGGGAATTGCAGCAGGATAGAGCGAGGAGCAGGAAAAGACCCATTTCCACCTGGAGCTGCTTTTTATAAGCCTCCTTGCTACCAGTGCTTACGAGGATTGCCCCATGGGAGCTTCGCTGACAAAGGCACAAATGCATAGTTTATTCTTGATCCTGAAAAACAAAACCAAAAGGAGAGCCTTTGGAGCAATAGAGGGATCATCTGTTCAGTTCCCTATGCCAGAGAGACATTTTTCTTTCACAGCTCTTCACAGATATTTAAGGCCAGCAAGCTGCAGATTCCCAAACAGAAGGAGCAGAAGCAGCAGTTATTGCAATAAAAGGGTCACTGTACTTGGGCCTTGGATTTCTGTCAAGCAGAAAATATAATTATACTTACAAGTTCTCCAGTGCCCATACCAGCATCATATCCAACACTTAAGGCTGTCCTAGGCCTGTTTTTTTTTTACATGTTTATACAAAAGCACAACGGTATCGTGAGGGTTATCATCAAAGCCAGTAAGTCCTTCAGCTTTCCTACCAATCCCTAGAAGCAATCTTCTGAAAAACAAAGATACCACTACACACACAGACACACACACACTAAAGTACTGAAAAAATTAAAGGCAATGTATATTTTTAAACCATCACTGTTTTTCCCCCTTGCCTAAATGCCATAAAATCCCAGCAGCTTAAACTGCTCTAAGAACTTAAAACCTATTATGATTCACTTCAAATCGCAAGTTTTACTACACGTTTTTCACCTCCTTTAACAATGAAACCTCAGATTCAGCTTTTAGCAGAAGTGAGACTATTGCTTCACCATGATTAGATATAAGCAAAGGAAAACAAACAAACGAACTTGGGGCCTAACGCTGTTGACATTTGTTCCACGCACTGTGCTTCACTGGGTACTGCTCAGCACTAGCACACATGGCAGTTTTTGCAAGATCATGGCCTTGTTTTAGTATAACACAATCAAGATAATTTTTACAAGGTCAGAAAGTTGGAATAAGAGGAAACAAAATCCAGGCCAGTTGTGCCTGGAATCAATTAGGCTTATGTGCTTTTCAGATGCTGCTTGTCTTTCTATTAAACAGCATTTCAATGTATACATACCATTAGTGTACACCCAAAAGTATGCACTGCACACACTGTGTTTCTCCATTTATTTAAACCCACCTAAACTAGGGACATCAGGAGGGTGAAAAAAAGGAGAAGAGGTGTTCATCCCAGAGCACTGAAATGGTTTTCACTTTGAGCTTACAGTTTACTTAGCTGCCTCTTCAATGATGAGCTGTTCAGAATGTCCAGGCATGCCTGTGGTGTGCTCTATCTGTCCATAAAGCAAAGGGAAACTGAAGTTGTCACCCAGACAAATACCAACTATGCCCAATGTCAACTTTCAAGCACTTCATTAAGACTTAGAGCAAAAAGAAAACATTATTTCATCTTTGTAAGATGAAAATTTACTGCATAAGCATGACATTTAGTATGGAATCATCCATGGAAGATTTTTCATTAACTGAAGCTGATTTTATGGGGAATTTGCAACTGCTCTATGTTGTTTTTTCTTTAGATGAGGCCAATCTAGTTGATACTAAAATTAAAGCCAGTATCAGTACAGAAGGCACATACAGGGATATAAATCAAATAGATTCTAGCTGCATTCATAGGTAAAACAGGAGACAGTAAAAATACTTACTTGTTGCTAATGTTGTGAAAAACTTTACAGACATAAAAGTTTAATTCCTTAACCACTTAAAGATCAAAATATTTACCTCCACTGCTTCTTTTTTCACCTTCATTTTGCCAAACTGTCCTGGGTTCGGCTGTAACAGTTATTCTTCTTAGTAGCTGGTGCAGTGCTGTGTTTACAAAACTAAAATGGGGTTTTCTCCACTACGATAACTTTATAACGTAAGAAGTTGAAATTATTTTGGAGGTAGCATTATAAATAATAAATTATAGTCAGTTATGTTAAAACCCAAAAACTTGATTTTTCAAGCATAATGTCTATATTGGGTCTTTACTGTAAATAGGCAGTCAAAGAACAGGGTAGGTATATACAGGTCAGCGGTGCTTCAGGTGGAGCTGGGTCAGAGGAGGGGCTCTGGGATGGGCTCTAGCAGGTTCGGGGTGGAGTAAAGAGGCTGAGCTGCCCTTGGGTGACCACCAGAGCCCCATGTCACAGGGGCAACTTCACTCACCCCCATCTCCCTGCACCCACACAACAGTGCGGCTCCACACCAGTGTAGTGGGGGGAGAACGCTCACGGCTCCTGGCGAGGCAAACACAACGTGAAGGGCGGTCTCCGGACGTCCTGGATAGGTGGCCTGGCCTAAATACACCAACAGCTGCCACGGCTATTGTAACGCTGGGGAGGGAATCCGCATGCAAAGTGCTGGCCTGACTTCCTGCCCCTTCCCAAACCTCTCCTTTAAAGGTTTAACCTCCATTGGTGGCCTGGGCCCTAGAGCCGCGGTCACCTCAGGACGGGCCGCTGTGCGTTGGGCCCGTTTCCTCAAGCCACTGGGTCGGCCGCTTCTGCCTGACGCCGCGCACACACGGCGGTAATTGGGACCGAGACGGGGAGGGACCGCAGCACCCGGCTCCCCTCAACCCAGATCCCAGCAGCCGCCACCGCCAACCCCGGACCCCCGACGGTGCTCGAAGAGGCGCCCGGGGCTGCGGCAGCACGCGGGCAGCGGGGAAGAGCGAGCAGCCGATGACAGCCGCCTCCCCGGGCGGGCCCAGACCGCCATCACCCCGACCCCACGGGACGGTGGTTGCCGTGGCGACGGCCGCGCTCAAGCGGCGGTCCCGGCCACCGGGCCAATCCCCCATCATCCCACAGGCTTGAGGGCAGCCACCGGCCTCCCCGGCCGCGCCCTCCCCGCACGTCACAGCGGCCGGGCACTCGCCGTCAGGGGAAGGAGAGCCCGGCAGCGGTGATTGGGCGCGGCCACCGGCCAATGGGTTCCGCCGCCCGACCGGCTCCCTCCCGCTTCTCGGCGGCGCAGCTCGGAGCGGAGCTGCCCCGGACCGTTCCTGTCTGTGCCCACGCCGGCCACGGGGCCCGTAGAGGCTGCGCTCGGTCAGGGCCGCGGTGTGCGGGGCCTGCTGCCGGCTGCCCCGCGCAGGCAAAGCTGCGCCCGTTTAACTTCAGTCCCCTGTAGGCGTATTTATTTCGGTTTAATAGGTGTTTATGGTACGTTAGCCAGGACCTGTTCCTAATCAATCCGAGCTAAATCAGAATAACGCTGATTTACAGCGGCCCCGGGGGGCTCGGTGCCAGCCGGGCAGGTTTTACCTCACAACCGGCGGTGGCTCAGCGCAGGCGGGCCCTGGTGTCCGGGCAGGCCCAAGCGGGACGGTTGGTCAGGCAGCTCGGGGCGTGGGAGAACGGTGGATCTGCTCAGCGAGTGGTGTTTCACCCTCCCTGACCGCCCGCCCTTGGGATGGCAGGACCGAAAACACGCGGAGCACGGCAGTAGGGTGCAGAAAGAGGAAGTTCTGGCACATGGATACAGGGGAAACGCTTTTTTTCAGTCCTGCCTTATGGTAGGAGCACATGGTCGTGGTAACAAGCCACAGCGCTGGGAGGAAGAATTACCTCATGGAACTGCAAGCCCTTTCCAAGCGAAGGTGGAGTCTGGAGCAAACAGCAGATCCCAGCTGATAGTGGTTGATAAGCCTGGGGAGCATGCACATCGCTGCTCTGTCTACCTCAAAAGCCTCCGTCTATCCTTGGGGAGCAGGAAAAGGAGACGGCTCTAATAGACTGGCTGCCAGAGCCCAGATAATGAGAGAGGTCTCCTCCTTCCTGCAGGAAGCAAGCTCACTGCTTGGCTCATGAAGCAGTAGTTTCAGTAGCAGCTTTCCCTCTGTTGCAAACCTGAACAGATCCCTTTCATTTTTGGTGAGCAACAGTAACTCAACGACTTTAGAACTTAAGAGCTCATGTGATATTGAAGGAAAACTGCTTTTTGCCTTGCACAGCAGTCAAATGGAAAGGTTAGAGGATGGAATGAAATTACGTACACCTTCAACCTAAAGCCCCAAAAGAAACAAACCCCCAACACTTGGAGGGTGCTTGGCCAAAAAAGTTGGTAATAGGCAACTGCCTTTTTCTCCTGTGACTGTCCTGAAGCCTTCTACTGCTAGGGGGTGACCTAGGAGGGGATTTTGTGGCCTCCATGCTGGCCTGTCAGTATGGAGGAACAGGCTTACTAAATGCTTTGTGCCTGGGGGTTCCTACCACCAGCTGTGGTTATCCAGCATTGTGGTATGTGTCCATGAGGCACAGCTGAGTAAGTGTCCTCATGGCTCCTACACTCCTCCCAGCTCCTCAACAGAGATAAACTTAACTATGTTAAGTTCATGTAGCAGCAGTGTTACAAGCAAACATCACTTCCTCCAGAGCAGACAAAGTGAAACTACTCTTTTTTTACCAGTAATAAAGGTCTTTCAGAAGAACAAGGACTGTAAATATGCCACTCCCTGTCTTTAATCATTCCCCCTAAACAGTCACCCACTCCTAAAACTCCGAGGAAAGGAAAAGGTGGGAGAAGTAATGGAAAGGAAGAGAAGCAAAGTAGAGAAAATGTGAAGAAACATATAAAAAACAAGACACAGAGCTCTGAAAACTGGAAAGAAAATACAACTGAACTTGGATTGGAATCCAGAGAAAATACCAAAGTATTAGTTTATGATGCACAGTGGTCAGTGCTGTGAATTTCTTCAGTGGTAGGGGTGCCCTTGCCTCTGAAGTTACATGGCTTTATAGAAAATCATTGGACAGGATTACAATATAGCACATACTTTACTTCACAGATTTAATTTCTGCTTCACATCAGTAGCTATGGAAGACACCACTAGTGTTTTAGTTTCTGTGCAGGAATGTTTGGCTTGGGAGATGAGGGTTGACCAACACCGAACAGGGAGAATCCACACAGCCTCCCTGCTGGATTTCTGTACCCCACTGGTGGCCCACAGACCTTCGTGAGGGATCAGAGAGCTCAGGTGAGTGGGTCACGCTTTGCTCAGAGGTTGCTGGACTGACGCTGAAGGCCACCAGAAACACAAACTGTTTTTGTTCCCATATTCTCCATCCTAAGCACTTTTGACATGAACTTAACCAGCAACCTGTGGGTGAAGTCCTGGCATCCTCACAAATTAAAATGTGGTAGAAGAAACAGAAAAATTTGCTTCCAACTACATTTGAGAAACTGGTACACAATCCCAGACATGGGTTGTATGTGGATTCAGGTATTTTTTAAACCAGCACTTGGTAAGTTAACTTTCCCCATGTCCTCTGCTGCTGTTTCTGTTTCCATCTCCGCTCCTACAAACCATTCGTACCTGTCCTCAGATTCTGGACACTGCCTCAACTCTGGTCTTCGTGTTGCCAACAGCAACAGGGTGCCCAAATTCAATGATTCCTCCATCAGAGCCGCCCAGTGCTTGGGTACTTGTGCAGCAGCAGCAGCTGCCCCGGTGGTGGTGCTCAGCTGCTGTGTCCTGCTTGTTAAACTGACAGCCTCTCCCTGCATCATCTTCATGGGCAACCACAAGCAACCCCATGGGTTGTCCTCCTGAGCACCCTTCTTATGTAACTGTCTTGTAAGTAACATTGCAGGCATTTTCCACATCTGAAAATGCTTTCCCAAGCTATAATGTGAAAACATGCCCTCTGCATGACTATTTTAACTTGGGCAAATTTATAATCATAGATTCATAGGTTAGGGCTGGAAAGGACCTTAAGATCATCTAGTTCCAGCCCCTCTGCCATGGGCAGGGACACCTCCCACTAAACCATGCCACCCAAGGCTTCATCCAACCTGGCCTTGAACACTGCCAGGGATGGAGCATTCACAACCTCCCTGGGCAACCCATACCAGTGCCTCACCACCCTTACAGTAAAGAATTTCTTCCTTATATCCAATCTAAACTTCCCCTGTTTATGTTTTAACCCATTACCCCTTGTCCTGTAACTACAGTCTCTAATGAAGAGTCCCTCCTCAGCATCCCTATAGGCCCCCTTCAGATACTGGAAGGCTGCTATGAGGTCTCCGCACAGCCTTCTCTTCTCCAGGCTGAACAGCCCCAACTTTCTCAGCCTGGCTTCATATGGGAGATGCTCCAGTCCCCTGATCATCCTCGTGGCCCTTCTCTGGACTTGTTCCAACAGTTCCATGTCCTTTTTACGTTGAGGACACCAGAACTGCACACAATACTCCAGGTGAGGTCTCACGAGAGCGGAGTAGAGGGGCAGGATCACCTCCTTCGACCTGCTGGTCACGCTCCTTTTGATGCAGCCCAGGATACGGTTGGCTTTCTGGGCTGTGAGCATACACTGAAGCCAGCTCATGTTCATTTTCTCATCAACCAACATCCCCAAGTCCTTCTCTGCAGGGCTGCTCTGAATCTCTTCTCTGCCCAGCCTGTAGCTGTGCCTGGGATTGCTCCGACCCAGGTGTAGGACCTTGCACTTGGCATGGTTAAACTTCATGAGGTTGGCATCAACCTCAATAATGACAATTGTTAGAATCATACCTTGGTCTCTTTTGAGCTGTCCTCTCATGGGTTTTCCTGCCTCCCACTTTTTTATGTCTAAGTGTAGGAAAAGTAAATGATCAGTTTGCAGTTAGTTCAATACATGGTACTGGGCTTCAGTTAAGTATGAAAGGCTAATTAGATCCTGCTATAATTCACACCAAATATACCGCAGTCCTGACCACCACCAAGATTCTGCCCAATATAAACATTTA